GGAAAAAAAAAAAAAAAAAAAAAAAAAAAAAAAAAAAAGAAAGAAAGGGTTTATATACCTCCACTGGCTTTCAAATATTCATATAAACACATGTATGCCCATGTACAACTTCATCTTAGATTCTTAATAAATGTTTACTACTGCTAGGCTACGTTTCATTCCAGTTTCCAAGTCAGTCCTGACTGAGTGATGAGGTTAATCACGCCGCTCCCATTATTTTTTTCCTGGTAGGTCGGGAATTGTCACTCTCCTGCTCTTCTGTGTTGCCCCCAAATGATCTTTGTTGCCAACCAGGATCTGATGTCCACACATCCCCCACTTCCAGATGACCACATTGAAATATAGGGAAAGTAAGGAGCAATAATAATAATAGCAGTAATAAGTAACAGTAGTTATAATAATAGAGGTAGTTATGGTGGTAATATTAATTCTAGCTAAATTAATATGTTCCTTGTGCATGTTCTTTTTTTTTTTTTTTTTAAAAGATGACCAGTAAGGGGATCTTAACCCTTGACTTGGTGTTGTCAGCACCACACTCAGCCAGCGAGCAAACCGGCCATCCCTATATAGGATCCAAACCCGGGGCCTTGGTGTTCTCAACACCGCACTCTCCCGAGTGAGCCACGGGCTGGCCCCCTTGTGCATGTTCTAACCTCATTAATATAATACCTAAATCCTTTTGATATATAATATTTCAACCTTATCTGGTAGGCACTACTATAAAGTCTACTTTATAGACAAGGAAACTAAGGCTCGAAGACAGTGAGTAACTTGCCATAAATTAAATGACTGTCTATATGTGAATCTGTTTCTGGCCTCTGTTCCACTGGTCTGCTTGTCTGTTTTTACAGCAATAACCCCACACTATCTTAATTACTGAAGCTTTCTAACAGGTCTTGATATATAATAGTTCCTCAGCTTTGGTTTTTTGTGTTTTTTTTTTCCAGAATGGCTATTCCTGTGTCTTTTCATTTCTATAGAAATTTGCATACACACACAGACACATATATTAACAACTCCTGAGATTACTTTTGTGATGGCATTGGATCTATAGATAAGTAGTGGGTTAACTGATATCTTTACAATATTGAATCTTAATCCATAAACATGGATATCTTTTGTGTATTCAGATCATCTTTAATTGATCTCAATACTATTTTGTTGTTCTCTGTATGGAGGTATTGTACATATTTTGATAGATTTATTGCTATATATTTGATGTTTCTGAATTTACTGAAAATGGTTTAGGTTAAAATTTTTATTTTACGATTTTTTAAATTGGTGTTATATAAAAATACAACTGACTTTTGTATATTGATCTTATAACCAGAGACTCTGCTGAGTTTATTAATTATAATAATGTGACTGCTGATTTTTTTGGATTTTCTACCTATACAATCAGGTTGCCTGCAACAAAAGACCATTGTATTTCTTCCTTTTCAGTACTACATCTTTTTTTTTTTTCTGTTGCATACTGAATTAGCTAGAATGTTCATACAAAATTGAACAGAAGTGGTGATGGTAGACCTTGTAATGTCTCAAACTCACAGAGAAAGCATTCACTATTTCACCATTAGCTACAGAATTTTTGTAGGCATGCTTATATTATTGCTTCTTTGATAAGATAAATGATCTTTTATTTATAGCTGATTAAAAATTTATCTCTTTACCTTTGGTTTTCAGTAGTTTTACTCTGGTGTGGTTAGGTGTGACCTTCTTTTAATTTATGCAGCTTAGGATACACAGTGTTTCTGAAACCTGTGGCTTGATATCTTTCATCAGTTTTAAAAATTTCTCAGCCTTGGGCCGACCCTGTGGCTCACTCGGGAGAGTGCGGCACTGGGAGCGCTGAGGCTGCGGGTTCGGATCCTATATAGGGCTGGCCGGTGCGCTCACTGGCTGAGCATGGTGTGGGCGACACCAAGCCAAGGGTTATGATCCCCTTACCTGTCTCAAAAAAAAAAATTCTCAGCCTTTATCTCTTAAATATTGCTTCTGCTCCATTTTTCCTCTAACCTCTTTTTCACATCCCATGTTAGAGCCTTTTGCCATGAGCCATGTCTTTTATTCTCTCTTGGGTGTCTACAATTCTTTTTACTCAGCATGATTTAGTCTGGATCTTCCTATGGACCCAGCTTCCAGCTCACTAATTCTCTCTTCAGCTATGCCCAATCTGCTATTAAAACTACCTGTTAAGTTCTTAATTTCGTAAGTATTTTTTGGATCTTGAACTTCTTTTCAATTCATTTTAATAGATTCCAGTTCTCTGGTGAAATTCTCTGCCTTGTTCACTATTCTCTTGAACATATTAACCACAAATATTTAAAAGTCTCCATCTGAAACTCCAAAATCTTAGTCACCCTTGGGTCTATTTCTATTATCTTATTTTCCATGTAGTCTGTTTCTTAGGAACCAGGTCATTTTTTATTGAATTCCACACATCATGCATGAAAAATCTTAGACGCTGGGTTCTCTCCTTCCAGAGAGGATTCACCCAATCCTCTTGCAGGCAGCAGACAGCAAAGGAACAGATCACCTCAATCCAGTCACAGACTGACCTGATACACAGCTGAGTAGCAATCTTTGTAAGACTCAGACTACCTCTTCTTCATCCCCACTTCTAGTGTATAGTTCTTTTAGAGTCTGAACTAAGAATCTGGGTTATTTCCAAAGGCCCCTCTCCTTTGCAGACCCCAAACCCCAATCTTTGTCTCT